TTTGAGACCGACCTGAGACTGGTTTGAGACCGACCTGAGACTGGTTTCACACCGACCTGAGACTGGTTTCAGACCGACCTGAGACTGGTTTCAGACCAACCTGAGACTGGTTTCAGACCAACCTGAGACTGGTTTTAGACTGACCTGAGACTGGTTTTAGACTGACCTGAGACTGACCTGAGACTGGTTTCAGATTGACCTGAGACGGGTTTTAAACTGACCTGAGACGGGTTTTAGATTGACCTGAGACGGGTTTTAGACTGACCTGAGACGGGTTTTAGACTGACCTGAGACTGGTTTCAGATTGACCTGAGACTGGTTTCAAACTGACCTGAGACTGGTTTCAAACTGACCTGAGACTGGTTTCAGACTGACCTGAGACTCGCTTTAGACTGGCCTTGTTTTAGACTGACCTAAGACTGGTTTCAGATTGACCTGAGACTGGTTTTAGACTGACCTGAGACTGGTTTCAGATTGACCTGAGACTCGTTTTAGACTGAAATGAGACTGGTTTCAGATTGACCTGAGACTCGTTTCAGATTGACCTGAGACTCGTTTTAGACTGAAATGAGACTGGTTTCAGACTGACCTGAGACAGGTACAAACTAAATGTAATCTACTCTTCCTGGGTTTAAACATGTGACTGAAGTATTTCACAGTGTTTGTTTACTGAGAGTTATTTCATTATTACGGTCCGTCTCCTCCACTGTTAAATCTTCACATGTCCTTTAATGCAGAAACACTGGATCTTACATTTCCCAGCATGCACCTGGGAACTGCCTTTGAATAGAGCCTACTGGTGGATTTTAAATTCCAAACCAGCAGTTTGTACAAGAGACAACGAGGCTGATGACATCACTATGACATCGCAAAACTGTTTTCATCAGCTAAGATGATCCAACCATGTTTCCAGGTCTTGGTTCAGTTTCCAGATCACCCTTTATACATGACTTGCGTTGCTTAGGTTTGGTTTTAGGTTGTTGCTCCATCACAGGTGTACTTACTGGGGGTCAGGTGGTTTTCTGCAGCTAAAGTACTCACCTGTACTCACCTGTCAGGTACTCACCTGTACTCACCTGTCAGGTACTCACCTGTACTCACCTGTCAGGTACTCACCTGTACTTACCTGTCAGGTACTCACCTGTACTCACCTGTCAGGTACTCACCTGTACTCACCTGTCAGGTACTCACCTGTACTCACCTGTCTTCTCCCTGCAGGTATCGCAGATCGCTGCACAGCTGTGAAATATCACTTCTCTCAACCAATCAGACTGAGGAACATCCCTCTGAACCTGACCAGGACCATCCAACAGGACGAGTGGCATCTCCTGCGTGAGTACACTGTGTATATATATTCAGTACACTGTGTACAGTATATATACACAGTGTACTGAACTGTATAATGATGAACATTGTGACGTTGGATCAAGACTGCACGTGGTTGATTTCTTATAGAATATGTTGTTACTAGACTGGGAACAGCTGGACCTGGTCTCTATAACACCCTGACTGTTACTAGACTGGGAACACCTGGACCTGGTCTCTATAACACCCTGACTGTTACTAGACTGGGAACACCTGGACCTGGTCTATATAACACCCTGACTGTTACTAGACTGGGAACACCTGGACCTGGTCTCTATAAAACCCTGTCCCTTCCTCCTGTAGACCTGCGGCGCATCACAGCCGGTTTTCTCGGCATGGCGGCGGCCGTCCTGCTCTGTGGGACCATCGTTGTGTCGGTCGGGTTCATCTGGGAGGAAAGTCTGACGCAGCACGTCTCTGGATTACTGTTCCTCATGGCAGGTAAGACACCTGAGAGAGAGAGAGAGACAGAGAGACAACATCATACCGATTAATAATATAGTGAATATGAATATTAATTAGTGCTGGGCAGGTTAACGCGTTATTATCGCGTTAACGCATTAATTTATTAACACCGACAATTATTTTATCGCGCGTTAACGCTTTTTAAAAAAAAATATTATTTGTAAAGTGCGTTGCTCACTGGCAGCGGTGGAGGAAGTCTTCAGACTACGTTGATGCAGTGTGTGGGAGAAGTAGAGATAAACTAAAGCAAGACAAGCTAACAGATGCTACAGAGAAGTGGAGACAAACTGCAGGTTAGTATTGTGGAAGATGTCGGTCTGAGGAACGTTCTCAAGGTGCGTTCACGTTGCGTTTGGTGTGAACGCACCTTTAGGATCTCAATGAATGACGTCACGTATGAGCCTCAAGACGCACCGTCACCAGAAGAACACACGAGTTGTATGAAAAGAGAGGACGACTAAAGCGACGGCGTTACAACATGCAGCAGCTGCTGCTCTCACTGGAGACTACTGGACATCGCTGGGTCACCATCATCACCTCTGAGTTACAGCATCATAGTGATGAAGAGTAGAGCTGCATCACATGCTCTGACTGTCATGAAGACACAACACACACATGGAGATGAAACGTGTGGAACATGTTGTTCCTGTTGCACAGCAGTGGAACGTTTCACACACAGTCACACACTGAGCACAGATAGTGAAGAGATAGAACTGCTGCTGTGTGAAGAGAACACTGCTGCTAACAACAACCTGATGTGTTTAAAGTGTTTACAAATCAAATGTTATTGACCTTTTGTTCATATAGCAGGACTTTAAAATAAAAGTGCGCAATACACTACTTTTGAATTCATTATTGAACTTTGACATAGCAATGCGATTAATCGCGATTAAACATTTTAATCGTTGCCTAGCACTAATATTAATATAAACGTCATACCGGTCTAACAGACCTCTGGTCTCTGAATCAGGTCGTCCTGAATGGACCCCTCTGGTCTCTGAATCAGGTCCTCCTGAATGGACCCCTCTGGTCTCTGAATCAGGTCCTCCTGAGTGGACCCCTCTGGTCTCTGAATCAGGTCCTCCTGAGTGGACCCCTCTGGTCTCTGAATCAGGTCCTCCTGAATGGACCCCTCTGGTCTCTGAATCACGTCCTCCTGGATGTTTAGTACTCAAAGTTCTTGTCGCTTCCTGTTCTTCTTCAGGGATCTTCTGCACCATCTCTCTGTGTACGTACGCAGCCAGCGTGAGCTACGACCTCTCCAGAAACCCCCCCTTCATCTACGGCCTGCCGGCTGACGTGGACCACGGCTACGGCTGGTCTCTCTGCTGCGCCTGGGCTAGTCTGGGTCTCACCGTGGCCTCCGGATGCCTCGGCACCGCCTTCCCCTTCCTGAGCCGGGCCGGAGCTCTGCACTCCAAAACCGCCCGCGAGTCCTCGGTCTGAGCTCGCCAAGCTGTCAATCAAACAGAGGTCTGGACCTGGTTTATGTGACCCGGGGTCCTGCACGGGCTTCTTGACCTCCAGCGGTTTCAAAGGTGTCACCTGGCCGCAGTGACGAACAGGTGCAATCCGGTACACCGTGACATCATCGTTGGGGTTGTGGTTACAGGTGTCTTTGACCTAGACCAGAAACAGAGGGGACAGGAAAACTGTAGGAGCTAGCATGCTAACAGGCTAACAATCAGCATCCAATCAGCATCCTTCTTCTCTGCTTTTTTTTGTTGTTTTTTCTTCTCACCTGCAGTTTCTAAAACAAGAACATAAAGGAACACGTAACCATGAACACACCTCCAGGATGAGTCCATCAGCCTGAAGGGGTCCCGCACTTTATAAATCCAGCGTAGAAACCAGAAGACCCCAAAAACCTGCAGCTCCACATCTGTCCAAGTGAAATCAGTCTGAAGCTTTTTTTCCCACAAAGCTAGCGCATCATTTTCTTTGGCTTATTATCTTTTGTAGCTTTCTCATATTTAAGTCTTTTAAACTTAAACTAATCTTCAGGCTGTAAAGAACCCTCAGAGATCTTAACCCCCGAACCTGTAAATACTAAAATGAAACTAAATCAATCAAAATGTAAAGTAAAAGTATCGAGTATCACCATATTATGTTTTGTTGAGTCTGTATTGCTTCTCAAAAAATGATGTTCTTTATACTGTGACGGTTCTCCTACAATTAAGATCAATATACCGCCTCGCTTGCAGTATCGTAATATATTATGGAGGTATTTCACATGTAAATGTATACAAGTATAGTGTTTTTTTCTACCTGATCAGAGAATATATGAATTAATTGAAGCAGTGTTGTGTTGGAGCTCAATGAGGAACCTCGTGTTTTTGTCTGGAGAACATGTGGAACATCTGTAAGAGAATATTGCAGAGAACCCTTACTCATCAAACACTGGACCTGATTCACCAGTCAGCTGGTCTGAGATCAGAGCCTCACACACACAGGAAGTCCAGGGTCTGAACAGGTGATCCAGGTCTGAACAGGTGAACCGGGGTCTGAACAGGTGAACCAGGGTCTGAACAGGTGAACCAGGTGTATAAATAAATGCTAAATGCTGCTGCTTGGTGCTTTAGTATCTATTGAATTTAGGAGTTCAACGTCCAGTCGTCTTCAGCTTAGTCTCAGATCCTGTAAGGCTGGATGCCACGTCTGTACCCTCTTATACCCTCTAACAGAGCAGGCTGATGGGGTGTACTCCTCATCAGGTACTTCTGAAACCCCCGAGACCTGTTATTGTCTCTGAAACACTCTTGTACTGCATCGTACCCATCTAATGCTCTCAGATCTCCAGATACCCCCATGTACCCTCTGATACTCCTCCTGTACCCTCTGATACTCTCTGATACCCCTCCTGTACCCTCTGATACCCCTCCTGTACCCTCCGATGCCTTCTGATACCGACCGATACTCTCAGATACCCCTCCCGTACCCTCGGATACTCTCTGATACCCCTCCCGTACCCTCTGATACCCCTCCTGTACCCTCTGATACTCGCTGATACCCCTCCCGTAACCTCTCATACCCCTCCCGTACCCTCTGATACTTTCTGATACCCCTCCTGTACCCTCTGATATCCCTCCCGTACCCTCTGATACCCCTCCTGTACCCTCTGATACCACTCCTGTACCCTCAGATACCCCTCCTGCACCCTCAGATACCCCTCCTGCACCCTCTGATACCCCTCCTGTACCCTCTGATACCCCTCCCGTACCCTCTGATACCCCTCCTGTACCCTCAGATACCCCCCTGCACCCTCTGTTACCCCTCCTGCACCCTCTGATACCCCTCCTGTACCCTCTGATACTCTCTGATACCCCT